AGAAGACCGAAGGCGGGGGAGGGTGTAGGTGGAACGTACGACCAAGCCCGCACCTTTGCGTTCCACGCTGCACCCTCTGTTCCACACAACAAATGACCGGGTTTTTTTGACCAACAACAAAAGTGCGTGGGGCGGCAGGACCCTAATGTGTGCCATGTACGACGGCAACTGGGTCTGCCACCGCACCCGCGAAGTGTTGGTATCTGTTATGGTGCGCAAATCCGATAACGCCTGCCAGAATCCGATATGGTCCCCCTGTTGGTCCAACGCATTTACCACGGGGTCCATTTGGAGGCATTATTAGGGCTATAGAGGTGCGGTGGCACGTCTATGGGTGGCTCCGTCCTCGCCAGTCACCTGCGCCCTCTCCAACCTCCGGTTTTCTTGAGTATGTCTTGACACCGGGTCCAGATGGGGGAGGAGGAGGAGTGAGTGTGGCATATGCTGCGCCAGTAGACCGTCACTACAAACTAATTAACCGAGCAAGTCACCGTCTTTGCTTTCACCCTGCTGTAGAGCTCAGTATTCGATCGTCGTAGCCGACGGTTGAACGATCGCAGGGCTTTTTTACTTAGGTGCTTTCCCGTCTCTCGAAAGTGCTATTTCAGCGGCTGGAATTGATCGATATGCATCTAATTAGGGAGGTGAAAAGAAAAGAGTACGCACCTAAGAGGCGGGGGGTTGTCAATGCGATCTGATTGCGGGACGTAATACGAACAGTCCCGTCTTTCCAAGAGGCAGCTAAATACAGCTCTCGTAGGTGATCGCAGGACAACGAGCAACCAATAACCTTCGGATTTACGACGGACCAGGACCGGAATATCCACTTACTGCTAACTTTCCGTCACTGATCTATCGTGGTCCAATCACAGGCCTCGATGACCTGAAATTTTAATCGTGTTTCAGTGAATTTTACCAATTTCATGCGGTCTGCCATTGATTCAAGTACCATGACCAGTTTAGTGGAGATTCATATTTTTTATCACTCATCTGTGCTGACAGCCCGTGAAACGTCATGTCTTGAGCTCTGCGGCGTAAACGATGCGTCTGTATTCTGTTCAACAGACAGACCAGCTCGGTTACTTACGTCCCCGCATGAGTTTGGCTGTTTACAGTATTATCCAGAGGGGTGAGTGAGCAAATTACTGAGTACTGCCTAAAGTTCATCAGACCGGTGTTTTTGTTTGAGCCCTTACCGTCCTTCCGTAGTATGCTTCCTGCTAAACAGCTGGTGTTTAGTCATGTGAGACGCGGCACGGACCTCTTGTGAGAACGTTACCTGATGACCAACTGATTCGGATTCGAATCTCGGGTGTGCAGTCTAAGAATAGAGTAGTACTGACTGATGAAGGCGAATGTGTCAGAAGTGTTCAGTCCATCGTCACTGTCTTAGTCGGCGGAATTTCCTGACCATTAATAATCAAGAGTTATCTGTTCACTACTGTTGGAATATCCTTTCACAGTTGAACGGTGAATACAATTCAAATTGCCGAGTAAATTACCGTCATCTTCAGGGAGAAACGGTGGCGACAACTACGAGGATAACGACAGTAATGATGGTGGGCTGGAAAACTAGTCTGAAAATTCGGATAATTCTGCCTAGGTCCGCAGGCCGAACATGCAGAAAGCAACTGTTACCCAGAAACAGCAAGGAAACAACTAAACACACATCAAATTGCCGCAGGTGCATGGTGAAGCCTTTAATGTTTGACGGCAAATCGGGGATCAAAAGGAAGGAAGGGGGGGGGGGAGGGCAGACCGCCTGTTAAACTTCCCTCGGAGTGGATGACCGGTTTCCTTTGCTTTGCTTTACTCGACAAGGACCCGAGATCCAAGCCCTCCTTTAACGTCAGTATCCGGAAAATTCCCTTTGTGTAGTGCGCAGAACAGATCAGGTCTGAGAATTTTGAAGCCTGCATGTGCGTTTGTGCGTGCGCATTAGTTCCGCCGGAGATTTTGGCTGTTAACGGGACGCTTTTAGTTTCGTGCGTTTGGGACCACCCCAGAGCCGCAAGAACGCAGTCCGGCGAACCCCCCCACCCCTGTTTTCGGGTGTTTAGCTGCAGAGACAGAAATAGGTCCATCACTCAGGCTGCCTCAAGCAAGGTGAAGAAATTCTACCAGCTGGCACACACACACACAGATCATGAACCTAGCCGTTAAGTGTACAGTATGGATATATTATCCAAGTCCGAAGTTTGTCAGTTCACTAGTCTGTGAAAGATGCCAGTTTATAGTGCATTCCGATGTTTGCGACGGAGGCGATTGTGCGCCTATTATACGCTGATGGCAACGGTCATAGTTTGACCCCCGCGAGAGACAATATCCGCCGTATGTCTCACGGAGTAGTGGTCGCGGAACGGTGGGGGTGTGCGCGGCCTCGAGTGCAGTAAGTGACAAAGTTAAACAGACCGTCTACGCGTGCCACGCGCGACCCGCCCCCCTTCTGCATATCCAAGGTTCGGGCAACGGCAGCCCAGATCTCACCTGCACGGGAGTGCCGAGTGAAGGAGAAGAAGAAGAGGAATGGGCCACTGCAGCCTGCCTCTCAGTCTTAAGAAGGACTAAGTTATCCCTTCAGCCGGCATCCTTCCGACCCACTGGTTTTGCCGCGTCGAGGTGGATTCAAGCACAACAGATTTGTTATAGTGAGGAATGAACTAGTATACCGTGAATGCGGACGGTCCTCCGGTGCTAGTCTCTCTCATCCTTCTCCTGTCCGGGCCTGCTAGTCAATTAGCGCTGGGATTGGGTGCGGAGTGGAGGCGTGACACTCACTCCCAAACGTATGGCAGTAGGTATTTCATCGCGTGCACTCCGTGTGGCCAGATTTACGCGTATCATGACGCAGTCTAGTCCCCTCTTGCGTCGACGCATTTACCACGCAACCTGTTGTGGCGGCACACCTACTGGGTTCGTACGCCTACCTCAGGCAGGAATCTTAATTATCTTATTAAGTTCTCCAAGGCTGCACCACTACCGATGCTGCTTTGCAATCGCGGTCCGATTGAAGGCTGCCTGTACTAAAAAGGAAAAATCACCCTCACTTGCACCTTCTTCTCGACTTGAGGCATAGATTTTTAAGTTATGACCCAAGTAAACAGATCTGCTTTCATCTGGAACAGAAATCACATGTGAGTTTGTCACGTTAATGAGTAGGAAACAATCGGTCTAAGGGCTGAGGCCTTGATGGCACTCGCGCATGTGAGGTCCAAGTCAACCTCTTGAAAACCTGATGCATGCTGTGGCGACCAGGTCGTGTGTGGTACGCGTAGACGGACTCTTAGCTTTACCGCCCGCTGGACTCGCGTCCATCCCCCGTCTACTTGATACTATCATGGCATCTGAGTATGGTGGGCTAGGGAGGTGGGGGTGCGTTAGATGCAGCGCAAGTCCACTATCATTATAAATTAATTCCAGCACAAGTCGCCGCCCCGCGTCCAACAATTCGTCGGGCACATGGTACACGTCGTCGCTCGCGACGGTCGAACCGTTATGTCACGTAATGAATAATCAGTCTTCGGCCAGCGGCGACAGTGTTAACATGGCGCGAGGGATTAGACGTCGCACGCCAACCGTCCTGTACGACAAAACCTGATGACGTCATCGCGACGCGATGACATGTGAATCACCAACGCAGTTAACCTCTTGGTCCAAAATGCTATAGGAGATAACCTGGAGTTAATAGTTCGGGTGACTGTTGGGGGGAAGCGGATGTGCCAAAACGTCCCAAGAAATGTCACAAAAAAGTCGATTCTATTAGTACCATCCACGCTACCGCGTCCGCGGGAACCTAAGCGCTTCGCAACCCTGGTCTAGGTGTGCGCGTGCATGGTATGCGATTGATCATTCCAGCGAAGTACACTGACTTTATATCGAATGAGACTGTCTGAATTCGCCGTAACAATATCGCAGGGATGCCCCAAGCCATCCTAGCATGACGCAAGGGGTGGTTCGGCCACGTTCTCCAATTCAGAAGACGAAGATGTGGTCATTGGAACAAGAAATTTATTGGTCCGGCGTTTCGGATTCTCACTCGAATCCATTATCAGAGACACTCGCAGATAAGAGTAATGGTGGCACAAGGAGCGCAGTATTTACAGCAAGTGGCTGCCGTGGGACCATATGCCCACTGTAATTAACAGTTCTCGCAATCACCGCAACCATCGGTGGTCTCGACCGCCAGGTTCTGTGGGATAGAAGTGAAAAGGGACGTGACATCAAAGGAAGCCATGACATCGCTTGGCAGGAGACTTACTCCTTTAAGTTTCTCCAAGAATGGCGCTGACGAGCTGACTGGAGTGTTCGAATCGGAGATCAGAAACTTTGAGACACTTTGCCAGTCCGTAGGTTGGAGTGCCCTTTAGTGATACGATAGGCTGGAGAGGAGCGCCCTCTTTGTGTACTTTTGGCAGACCGTAGAATCGGGCTAGGGCCGTTTCAAGTACTCTCGCCATGCGTCGGTCGATTGGTGATATTGCACTTGAGTTCTCCATTGCCAACAGTGTCGCGTTTATCTCGCGTGTCAGCATTTTTATGGGGCTGGATTCGCATGGGACATAGAACTGACGATCTTCCAACAAAATTTTGACTTTCTGATTGTGGGCTGTCCTGCCCAATACGACCGTGGGATGCTTCTTGTCCATAGGCACGATAACAAGTTCGTTGTCGGCCCTGAGTTCCTTAAGTGCATCGCGCTCGACCTTGGAAAGCACGTCGCGCGGCCTATGAGTCATGAGGATAGATAAAACTTGGTGCCGAATGAGGTTCTTCGTTTCGTCTGTCGCCCCCGTCTGGCTGAGGATTGATTCCACTGCTGCAATCATGTTGGCAGGTTTGGCATCGGCTGTGTTGAATGAGGCCTCATGCCGTAATACCTGCATTTGTTCCTCCGTCAGTTCCTTTAACGACAGGATGTGCATCAGTTTGTCGTTCTTGGATGACATTGGAGCAGGCAGCTTACGAAATTTGCTCTCTGGGACTGCTTTGCGTGTTGCTTTATGTTCTCGGGTTCGTTCGGCCAGCCTCTGCTGAAGCAGCTTTGTGCCGTCCTCGCCCATGAACTCGCCGCACCTTGCTTTCTCTTGGTCAATCCTCTGACGGTATTTGCGAATCCGTGAGTGCTAGTCTTGAAGGAGCCCTCGGATCATTCGTCGGCCGTGCTGAAGTACTACGCGTCTCGCCGGCTCTGTGCTGACCAGAGGTTTGTATGAAACACAGTTCGGAAGCACACTGTTGTCGAGACACCTGTGCAGAAATCGAATCTGCGCACATCTTCGCCTTCTGAACTGCTACCTGGAACTCACCTGTTCGCTTCTATCAACGTTCTTCCTTGCCCATCCGGGACCTCAACTCGCCTGCGTTGGATCCGACGCCACTGCCTGACTGGAGGCAGCGAAGCGGACACCAGCCTAGAATCCGGCTGGACACAGTCAGTCGAGACATAAAGGTGGCCGCAAGAGAAGACAGTGGACCGTACTATGCAGATCTTCTGCTGCTGCGGGTTGTCTCTACCGGACAGGAACAGACTGAGAAATGATTGAGGCCGGCTAGAGCATGCATGATCACAGTCGCAGTACTTACATACGGTCATTGCCTGATTTAATAACATTTTGACCGAAATTCTGAAATACATGTTCGTTTGGGAAGGATTAATTAAGTGAGGTTGTAATATTAATAATCGTACAGCAAATCGTCCGAAGACATTTCAGTCACTATAGCATGTAGGAATTTGACTGCACTTCTTCTCGACCGCCTGCAAAGGTTATAATCGGCAAGATATGACTTTTTAAGTGGTATTCACTCTTTCCATTCATTGGTATACCCTCATATATTCAAATATATTTTATAGAAAAATGGACAGAAATATTCTTGCAAATCAAGGGCATTATTAACAGATCGGCGACCGCGGTGGAGTTCGAACTCACGAAAACCCGTGTACAGATAACGCCTTAACCAGCTGAGACACGAGGCTAAACACAAGCCTTGCGCTTTCTCTGGTGAGTTCGAACCGCCGACTACGTAAATCTGCCAAAACACCTACTGATAAACAATTTACATCGATGTAAAAACCTGATTCATCTACAGCCTCGGTGTGAAGGCACATTTGGGTATCTGAGCTCACCGCGGAAAAAAGTCCCTAATCCACAAACACGTGATCTCGCACGCGTTGCGACCTACAGGTTCCCTCTCGTAAGGCTACGCAATCACCCCAGGTGGCCTCGCTCGGGTGCACCACTAATGTGGTTATTTAAATAGCAGCAGCAGCAGCAGCAGCAGCAGCAGCAGCAGCAGCAGCAGCAGCAGCAGCAGCAGCAGCAGCAGCAGCAGCAGCAGCAGCAGCAGCAGCAGCAGCAGCAGCAGCAGCAGCAGCAGCAGCAGCAGCAGCAGCAGCAGCAGCAGAAGACGTGGTACCGGTTGCGGTATGAGTCATTTTTTCTTCCATTTTTCTTACAATTACCTAAAAGCGATCCGTTTTTGTTAATTAGGACGGCTACAGAACTTCATCATCTAGAACCTCTCCAAGGGAGGACGCATCCCCCGAAGCCACAGTCAAAACTGAATAAGCCTGGTTGAGGGAACAGGCCTTTGGACTTTGTCGCTGGAACCGACAGTTTACTTGTCTGACGCCCTGAATTCACATTCGAGCTCATAAGCAAAACCGGGGCCTCTTTCTTTCCAGCTGTTCCCGAGAATTCATCTTTTCGCTTGTATGGTCGGATCGTTTGTTTTTTTTTCAGCATATCGTCATCAGGCCCGTATAATGGCCTGCTTAAGATTTAGTATGGCTGCTGGTTGGTTGGATGAGGCCGCTCTGTTCTCAGCTCTCGAAAGACCATTGTAAGACCGTTAAACGAAAATTGCTTGCCATCGGACATCACAATCAGCCCAACAGATCCTGCGCTAAAGCAACTGACCGGACAAGTCCCTTCCCCGCCAATTCTCCCATCCTTTGGCCATTGTAGCACGAGACTCATCTCAGCCAAGCTCATCGGCACCGCCGTCGCCGCCGCCGCCGCCGCCTCCTCCTCCTCCTCCTCCTCCTCCTCCTCCTCCTCCTACTGTGCCGTCTGTCACTCCTGTCCGCGCACCCAACCATCTTTTTGAAAACTAATAGTTTGAATTATCAAAAATTCATATCTTTAAGAAACTTCGACATTTGCATAGGGCCCTCTGGACGCCTGGTCATGAGAGAGCAGGAGGAAAGTAGCGAAGCAGTACGGAGAAGGACAAGAACGATCGGAATTGACTGTTTCCGTACGATTCGGCATTGTCACTCAGTCATGCCTCGCCTCAAGGCTGGAGGACCTGAAACTGAATTCACTTATTCAGTAAAGTTATATCTCTATCCGATGGGCCACGGGATCAACCTCCGTCTGTTTTCGTTGAAAGTTCCTGCACGCGCCTAGCTTTCATGCGCCACTCAGTTAATGTTTTGATTCATAAAACGCGGAACATCCACCCCCCCACCCAATTTCTCCTGGTATTCATACTGAACAGGTAGGTATGGACCGCCTATTTGAAGCCAAGCAAAAAGGTTTTTTACGTTTTCTTTGATTCTCAAACAGCTTTCTACCTGACGGGCCTTTCATACTGAAACTCAAGTGAAGCTAACGCTCGTCAAGCGACTCCCGAGCTCCAGCACACAATACTTCCAGCGATTGCACGACTGCAAACATATGCTGATAGAAAAGTACTTCTGACCAAATTAAGCCCGTACCAAGTAGGAGAAGTCGGTGTCGGTGCCCGGAAGACAAAAACAAAGCTCGTATTCCGTCCTGTAATTGGGTCAGACGGACGAAAGACAATTTCGCGTGACCTTGAGCTTACATGTTCTGGGGGGATTTGACGGGTAAATGTGATTGAGAATCTCGAGGGCACCGAAAACGCCTAACTGACCTGGACGAGACGGTCCGAGATTACAAAAAGTCGGAAATTGCTTGCTTTGAATTCATTCCGGGGAAATATTCCTTCAAATTGAGAAATTGTCGCCCTTCTTTAAAGGGTTTAAAGCATTTTCTGCAGCGCACGTACAGGCCAGGTACTTGGAGTGTACACCGCAGTTCATGAGTTAAGCAAAAACGCAGACTCATTGAGTGCATGAAGAAGAAATAAACAAGGTGTTCCGGTGCTCGAATCTTCTTCTTCACTTATGCATACACCCGGAATTCGAAATTTCTCTTTCATTCGAGAACAAATTCCCTCGACAAGGTTTCAATGGCGGCTTTGGCAGTCCATTAGGAAAGTTTGTTTAGACTGAAACATGACCGCCCCCCCTCCCCTCCTTAAATTTGCTTCCAGACCGTGAAGGTGGAAACCCCAACACCTCCCTAGCTTCATTGCTGACTGCTGTTCATCGTGCCTGCAGGAATGGTATCGGCAGAACAAATTCCATAATAATGGCATGCTCAGAATAGCATTGCCGAAATGGAAAAGGGAGACTGGAGTGGCCATTTCTGACCTGCAAACCGTCATCAGTCAGCCATACCCGGCCGCGAGGTATGCAAACCGCGAGGCTCGAACTCGCGACCTGTTGGTTAGAAGCCCAACGCCCTAAAAATGAGTCACGGGCTCGTTTTCCTGTCTGGTGAGATCGGGTATACTAATGACGGTAGAGGGGCGCGTACCGATCGTGTTTCCTCCTAAGCTCTGGAGAGGATATGCACTAAACCATGCCTGTCAAACCATATGTCGTTGTGACTAAATGTTGCACAATACTAACCGAGGCAAAGCTCCACTGTGTCGCCGTATAAGTTTATCACACTTCAATACATGTTTTTGGGAGATTCGGATAATTAATTTGACCTATTTGTGAAAAACTCAGAGGTCTCGAAGGAATTCGAACCCGCGACGGCAAAAGCGAGGCTTGGGTACAACTGAGTCAAGTGAATTATCCATATATTCCAGAACAGGTATTAGTTAACTGAGCCTGGTAGTTGTCCGGTGGATTCTAGACTGGTTGCTTGCGAGATCCTGCTTTTAGCGGTCAGCTTACTGTAACAGATTTGGCGAATTCCGTACGTCACAGTAGGCTGGCGGGTAACTTGACCCAAAGGTGAGTAGACTCACAACTCCTGGTAGAGCCCCGTAGCTCAGGTGGTTAGGGTGTTGACCGCACTCAAGCCTTGCCCTTGATGTCGTGGGTTTGAATCCCACTAAGGCGCCGAGTTTTTTTCCAATTAGGTTAAAGGAGTTATCGCATTTTTCAGCGGCTTTATGGCATAAACTACCACGTAGAAAATAAGAAGGGTGAGGATGGCTTCAAATGTGTCCTTTTCGTGGTAGCAAGACAAATGTCTGCTAGACCAGTGTACTTAAAGGAAATGAATGCAGTGAACAGACCGTCGAAAGCATAGTTCCTGAGGCCGGCAACCAAATCCAGATGTCTGCCCAACGAAAGCAAGCAGCGACCATGTAAACCTGGGGCTCAGAGGGGGGGGGGCTATACTTCAGTCTTGATGGAAGCCTTGTCTACGAAAAACACACTCTGTCTCTCACTCAGACTCGATATACAGTAGATGCACTATCTCGTGAAATATTGACTGAAATTCTGGAACGTGTTTTCATTTCGAAAAGATTGCTTAAGTAGGGGCTGAATGTTAATTATCCTGCAGCACCATCTCAACATACTTCACCCACGCCATAATGTCGGCATTCGAATGGGCCTCTTCCCGGTCAACTGCATAAACTGCACTTTCTTCCATTGATTTTCGATGCCCTTGTAAATTTAAATACAATTTATGGCAAACATTCACATTAATATGCCTTCTTATACTCATTTGGTAGCAAATGACGTCCTCTTTAAATTTCAAACATGAAGAAAGATTACCTTCCGATTGTAAGAAGTTTCTGTTTATGAGTTTTTGAGACCATGGAATATCCAACCGTGCAGCATCGCATCAGCGAGTTTACTGACATTGTTTATAAAGTGACCACATGATCCAGGCCCATTAGAAAATTTTATGAACCCTATATGACGTCTTCGCATTGTTGCATAGAAAAGTATAATTTGTCCTACATGGGAAGTATACAGCTTGTGGTTTTGAAACCCTGAATGAAAGTGCAGCGGCAGGTGGGGCCCTGAATTATTCTGAAATTTAAAAACGTTTTTAGAATCAAATCATACCTTAGTGGGACTGGCTCACATGGTCCCCTTAACAGGACATGATAACAGGAAGCGCCTGGAATAGGGGTGGCTTCGAGACAACTTCCAGTAAAATTAGGTTTAGGTTTATGGTTAGGGTTGGGGGCTAGGTCAAGGAATAGGCTTAAAGCCAGATTTAAAGTTAAGGGCAAGGTAAGTCAAGATCGAGTTTAGGGTTAAGGTAGAGGCTAGTTTTAACTGCAGATTTACGGTTTAGGGTAGTGTTAGGATCAAGGCGAGGGCGACGATTTGGTTTTATATTAGGGTTACTGTTGGGCTCAGGATATGGGAGTATTTTGTCCTTTCCGGAATTATGCACTGGTCCACATTTATAACTTGGGCGGGACCTCCCTATTTCTATGTCCTGTTTAGAGGGTCACGTATGTCAGGTCTACCTTTTAATCAGGTATGAGATCTAAAGGAAATATAATTTTCTACCGAAGAAGCCCAAGAAAGAATATTTATGTGCGTATTTTAAATAAAATACATTGGAATTCAAGTGGACATCGAAAATCAATGAAAAAAATCGGGGTTCTCAAGTAATTATTTTTATAGGGTGCAGCTTATGCAGCTGGCGGGCAAGAGGCCTGTTCAAAAGCCGATGTCTTGGCGCGGGCGAAATATAGTGGGATTATGCTGCAAGGTTATCGATATCAAAACCCAACTTAAGCAACATTTTCGAATTGAAAACACATTTCATAATGCAGTCGGCAACATTTCAGGAGATAGCATATCTACTGTATGCCCAGAAAATACTTCCATTTTTTGCTGACTGCTGTCACACGACAGTTCGATCATGGTTGTCGACGATGTCCACCGTGTGTTCCACAGCGAGGCGAGAGCAGGCACGGTGACTTGTACGTAAATTAGTTTATAGTGCCCAGAAAAGCAAAGCATCTACCGCTCTATTTCCTCCTCTCCCATCTGGGCCCGGAGTCAAGAAGACCGGAGGCGCGAGAAAGGGGACGCGGGCGGATGTCACGACCAAGCCTGCACCTTGGCGCACACCGCAAATGACCAGGATTTCATCGACAACATTAACTGGGGACGGCAGGTTTCCAATGTGCGCGACATCTGCCGGCAAATGGGTTTGCCACCGCACCCCGAAATGTTGGCATTTGTTATGGTGCGCAAATCCGATAACGCCTGCCAGGTTCCGGTATGGCCCCCACGTTGGTTGAGCTCATTCACCACGTGGTTCGTTTGGAGGAGGGGGGGGGGGCATGCTGTCACACAAATGACAGAAGCTGTCATTAATCCTTTCAGCAGTCTGTCACGTGCAGCGACTCCCGCAGGAACCCTTTCCGTGCACACATTAATTTTCATGGGTTTTTCGCTTCCCTGTCATTTAGACGACATCGGTGGAACTTGACACAGTAGAAAGCCATTTTCAGCCGTGACGGGTGAAGGCCCAAACACGTTGCTTTGCTGTTGCTGGGTTCCACGCGGCGTGTGCACGAAGTACCCGTATCTGATACTGTCTCTGATGAGGGATTTGAGTGTGAATCCGAAACGTGGGGCGAATAACGATCTTGCTTCAGTGATCGCTTCTACGTCTTATCAAGGTCAGATGATCCGGTTGGTCACTTCGCAGGCCCTGACGTCGGAGACTTCGTCGAGGCAATTGCCTCGGCCAGTGCGGTTAAATTTACCCATGTTCGCACATCTCAAGACTGAGCAAAAGAGAAAGCACTCGTTGTTGCCGAGTTAACGATGAGGCCAGCCCGGCGTTGCAGTAGGCAGTTGCCCGTGCCTTACTGATCTGGTCTACGATAAACGTTACTGCAGTTGCCAATAGAGGCAAATAGACTAGTCTCAGGAAACAACCGTAAGGGAGACACGATCACTGGAGCAAGAGCTTTATTCGTCTGACTTTCGGATTCCTGCTCGGACCCATCATCAGAGACAATAACACAGATACGGGTGGCTCATGCACAAGGGGCTGAAGCATTTATAGGACGCAGTCGCCATGATACTGCATAACTATGAAAACTCACGCCCCCTCCCCCACCCTTCATCGGGTTGTTGCACCCGGTGTGATGACTGTTTGATGGCCGATATTTGCGTCGCTAATCGCTGCAATTTCATCACGGGTGTTGGATGATGGCGTGATGACTGCTCGACCATCTGACCCACCGACCCTGGCGTTGGGAACAGGATTTACCAGTGCGCTCCCCGTGTGGCTAATTACTCCGCCTAGGCGGTCTCAGCACCGAGTATGGAAGGGGAAGGCGGAATGGCGACTGCATCATATAAGTACTGCAGCCTATTGTGCATGCAAAACCCGAATATATTATTGTCTCTGATTATGGGTTCGGGGAATCTAAAACGTCAGACGAATGAAGCTCTTGTTTCAGCAACCGTGTCTCCTTCTTCGATACTGCAGTCTTCAAATGGTCCTCCCTGCAGGAAAGTGGGGTGCCGGATCACAGACAGACGCAAAGGCGGTCGCTCCTGGTTTTGCCTTTAGATCAGGGTAAAATTCTCGGGCCAACAGACGGTCTCCGCTATTTTGGGCGACATTTTCTACAGAAAGGACAAAACAAAGGTGAAATCGACCATCGAATCAGCTGGGCATGTGCGGCATTCGTCAAAACCCCTGGAATCGGCATGGCATCAGTCTGAAAACAGAGCTGCGAGTATACGCGACTTCACGAAGACAACCTTGCCATACTGATATGAGACATGATTCGTGCACCCAGAAGGTGACAACTGACTGAAAGCATCTGGCAAATGGTGCTTTGGCTGCATTCGTTTCGCCGGTCGCATATAACGCGCATGCAGTATGCCCTTTTTTTCTCACCGACTGCGCTGCGCCGAACTGAACGCAAAATTACCGGGGGTGCCACCATGCACGAAATCGGTCCTGGCTAGTGAGGATTTGAAAATGATCAACTGCAGAAATGGGGAGAGGGGGACGGTAGAGAAGTCGACCCTGAGCACATCGCTGGTGCGTTCATCTGCGGGGCCTAACAAACGAGTCGGTGCGAAGACTGCAACAATAATATTTGCGATCTTTAGTGACCATAAATATGCACAGTATGTACAAAATTGGAGCTTCTGACTTTGGTATACGGCAGACATATGTACAACTTGTTCGCGCGGGCGACCACTACCGCACCGCAGTAAGTGACCACGCAGGCAGAACAGGTGAATCTTTGGGAAATGGGGGGGGGGCGAGGTCTCAAATAGAGAGAAGAGGGGATCAAAAGAGATAAGAGATAAATGTCATTTGGACAGTCACCCTGGATAACAACAAGAACAGTCTCAGTGGAAGCGACACTGGCAGCGAGATATGCAGGCGATCAGTCCCGCTCGATCAGACCAATGTCTAACTCCTTGTACTTGGTGAGGTCGGGAGTAAGGTCCTCGGTCTGCTGCTGGTCCTGGACAAGTTGGCCGGTGACACAGTTTGCATTCAGCGACCTCATCGTCCGCATCTTTAGGCGATGGGAAAGGCCAGGCGCGATCTCCACGAAACCGTCCGCCCCGCTGCCTTCACTCCCCTCGTCTTCCGTGGTGCTGAAGGCATCCTCCATCCCCTCACTGGGCGACTGCCCACACAAGCAGGCAGCAGCAGAACTCAGCACCACCGCAGTGGAGGGCGGCCGGGACGTGGCTGCATTTTTAGGGTCCGCGGCAAAGCTGCAGGGGCTGCCCTCCGTGGAGCTGTCGGGAAACGCCTTGACGTCCATCGGGCTGGAACGCATTGCCGAAATGGGCCGGAATCGCGTTTGCAACGGTGGGGTCAGGGTGCCAGCGTCATACTCCTCAAGGAACTGGCCCGAACAGCAATGCAGGCCAGCCCCAAACTTGCCCATCCCAGAGGACTCATTCGACTCCTCCTCTTCACTCGCCTCCGAGAGACCGGCCAACTCCTTGCGTCTGCGGATACTGGGGTGAGCCAGCACCATGCCTTGTGGATCCTGTTGGCGCAGAGAAGAGAGTAGGGGGGAGGGGTTTGGTATGAGGGATAAATAAGTACTAGAGAAACAGGTGAAGACAATAAGTACTATGGTGACTGGACGGTTGGGACAAGAGTTTTGGTTGCCTGATTTTTTGTAGTCACATAGAGAATCATAACCGGAAGCAACAACAGATAAGCAGAGCTTCCCTATGTTGAGAACGTCTCGGAAATCGTTAGCTACCTTGCCATGCAACTTGAATTTGGAGTTGAATAAGGACCGGTAGTTATCATCAGGCACTAAGACTTACTGTCACAGAGAGCTGGGGTCGTTTACCGGACCTGGTGTGGATGAGGGTAAAGCAACTACGTCGGAGCAACTAGGAGCGTACTCTGGATGCGGATGGCTGAACACGCATCAGCAGCGGGGAATAGCATTAACCCTCAAGTCGTGGCCCAGTCTACGGGATCAGGTCACACCTTCAGGCTAAATGAGGCTGGAATTGTCGCGGGGGTGACAGCCAGGTCAGTATTAGGACAAGAAAGTACCGGAATACAAAGTGACGTAGATTCTCGCTCACTTTTGCAAATACCTTGATCGATAAAATTATTTACAAACATATCCTGCATGCAAAAAGGACATTTTCCGGAACGGGTTTAACAAATGAATAAGGAATACACCATTACGGATGAAGGTCTCAAACTTTGTCATCACGCTTCCTGAGCTAGGCCACATAGTGCAATTATGGCGTTCGCGAATCTGCCCTGTTCGTAGGACGGAAACTGGCGCTTGCTCTTTACCCCAAAGCTGTCGACCCAAACTCTCGTTCAGAGTGTAGTTTAGAGATGAACACCCAGTCGAGAGACGTTACTGACAAAGAGGAAACAGATGCGAACAGGCGAGTTCCAGGTAGCAGTTCAGAAAATGAAGATGCGATCACCGGAACAAGAAATTTATTTGCCTGACGTTTCGGATCCTTACTCGAATCCATCATCAGAGACATTAGCAGATAAAGGTGATTGTGGCACCAGGAGTGCAGTATTTATAGCACGTGGCTGCCGTGGGACCGCATGCGCACTGCAATTAACAGTTCTCGTAATCACCGCTGGGGCCGTAATTGATGCGGTGGTGGCTTGTCGGTCCGAGTCCGAGTCGTTAATGGCCGCGATTTCGTCATCCGTGCTGGATGCTGGTGTGAAGAGGAAACACACGACACAATGGCCATTTTTGATGCAAACCTTTAAATGACCCCACAGGACCTGAGCTCAGGTCTGTATCAGTAGTCGATGACAGCTAACGGCAAGAGTATGGCATGTAACCCCCTTAGGGAAACCTAACTAGCTAAAAACGTAACTCCAGTCATGCCCATGCCTTCAAGAAGTCTCCTACCCGTAGGTATCTAAGGAAAACTCGGACGTAACCGTAACCTTAAGCCAAGTCCTAAAACCCGAACCCTAGCCCCAACCCCAAATCCAAACCATAGCCCAAGCCTGGCGATCCTAATCCCAAGAATAACCCTACTAACACCAATTCTAATCGTTGCCCAAATCCTAACCCTGAGTCCAAAACGGGCAAAGGTAATGCTGATAACGACATTGGCGGTCAAAATCAGCTTCCTGCATGACCCCTTTCGCGACCTACTGCCAGACAAACCGTTATGAAGCACACGTAACTAGGTAAGATAAGAAGGTAGGCTTTTGACAAACCACCCAGGGGGTGTTACACACCCTACCCCTACCGAACTAACAAACCAGAAATTTCTTGGTTGGCGACTTTTCTCGATACTCTGTTTTTAGTCACAACCAAGAAAAGCAATTGAGGAAGCCCAGGTGCAGCTTACCTGAAGCAGAGCAAGTTCCGGCAGCTGTCTGAGCGGACTGACGCTGTAGGTATTGAGGTTGGCACCGCCACTGGTAGAGGACCATCCGGACATAGGCTCACCCTCCGCCCAGTTCATGCCGTCGGCTGGGTGGTGGTGGTGATATTGCAGTGGCCTGTCCGGCAGCTGGTTAAAGACAGCCTCCTGGGGTAGGCGCCCAGCAATGGGGGTGTCCGTGCCGGACTCCGAGAGGGGTCGGGAGGTAACACCGCGTCTGGTGTTGGCGGAGCCGAAAACGAAGATGCCCTCGCTGCCGGTGGGTAAACTGCCCTGGCCGTCAAAGGCGCTGCCAAAAGACGTCTCCTCCGGTTCCTGCAGCGAGGAGGGCCAATTGGAAAAGCCCGTGGTGCAGACTTGGCCGCCGCACGCGGTGTCCATATTGTGACTGCAGCGCCTTCGTTTCAGTCCGCCAGCGGCGCCGTTGTAGGCCCTGAGCTGAGCGCCTGTCATGTCCTTGAGGGGGGAGCAGTTGCGCCCGTGGGCACAGTCCCGGCAGAGCGTGGTGCCTCCGATGGCTGTCGGCTGCGACTGACAGCGCGTTGATGCCCTGAGAAAGGAGGCCGCCGAGGAGGACGAGGCGGAGGAGTTGGGGGTCTTACAGGCTGGATTCATGGTTGAGTCGAAGACGGAGAGATTGGGAGAATCGCGAGTCTCCTCGGACTCAGTCAGCTGGTGTTGTGACTGTTGCTGCGTGTGACCGTCACTGCCCCGCAAGGGACACTCCCCATCCGGGCAGTAGAAATCGGCGTCTCTAGCCCGTCGGGCAAGATTATTACACTCACCATAGGAGTTTGAGAAGAGGCAGGGCTTCGCACTCCTCTGAATCAGAGTAACTGCCTGTGGGGGCTGGAAGAGAGATCAATTTTATAACGGAGTAAAGTAAGACTGCGGAGGGACAAGACCGAAGACGGAGGGGGGAGATGGGTTACTCACCTCACTCTGTTCAGACATTAGAGAGTCGTCGGCCAGTCGAGAGGCAGAAAATGAATTGGAGAAGCTGTCCTGGAAGAAACCCGAGGATGCACTAGAGGCAATATTCTGGTAGGGAGAAGACACAACATCCGGAGAAAAGGAGAAGTCGGAGGTCGCCTGATTGCCTTCGTGGGGGCTGATGCGTCGTGATTGGGTGGGTGTGAATGCCGAAATACGGCTGAAAGAGGATTAAATGGGCGGCTTGATTCTGGGCAGCAAGGGATTGGCGGAGAAAAAAGCCGCTCTCACATTTGCTTACCGCTCACATAGAGTGCACCCGATTCATGCGAAGACAGGTAGGTTGCATAAACCAGGAATTTCAATGAACATTCGGATCAAAAACGATCGATGACAGTGGAATGACCACGTAATGCCCATTATACAAACAAGTAGTACTACGAGTAATATGGCATGATATCAAAAGTATTATATCGTACTCCCGACATAGGTACTAACTAAATAACTGGAAATCATATTCCAGAAACCGCATATGGAACGCTGGGGGACCCACTGATGACCCGAGCCCTTCACATCTGCTTCACGCAGCGGTAAAATATCAGCGAAGCACGTGACAGGGTCTTAAATTGGTACCTATGTCGGGAGTACGGTATAATATGTTTGATATATATAGGCTAAATGAAGGCAAAATAAGCCCGAAACAGTACTGTATCAGTCTACCCGAATTCTCTGTTGTCCCTCGCCGCTGCTATTATGACTTGGCCGACTTCCGCCTGGTAATTGGTTGCCTGTTCGTGACCTTTGCCACCCATACGGAGCTTGTTTGCTTCGTGAAGCCAATAGATCGGTGTGCGCCCATTCCTGATTGAATAAATACCCGATCTGCAGTGACAGAGAATGACAGGCGGCGAGGCACTGATGAACTTGGGTTCGATGAAGTGCTTATGACCCATCTGGTAGACCCCACTGGTGTACCAACTGCGCCAGGTGCGTCTGTGCGCATGTTTGAATTTCTGGCCCCAGCTGCTGGTAGTCAGGGTTATGATTGGCTGAATGAAGGCACAATAAGCCCAAAACAGTACTGTATCAACCTACCCGCATTCTCTGTCGTCCCTCCTTGCTGCTCTATATATATATACACACACTTCGGGTTTGGGTATGGCTGGCTGACGACGGCTAATAAGACAGAAACAGCCATTCCAGTCTCGCTTGTCTTTGTCGGTAATAGCATTCTGCCCATATATATATATATATATATATATATATATATAGGCAGGTTACAGAACATACTCGTTCTGTTGTGCCTTGGGGCTCATACTTAAACCCTCGCAGGCAGTCGCACAGCGACTAGTGATATAGGTAGATAAGGTGATACCGGCAAAGACAAGGGAGACCGGAATGGCCATATATATATATGTATATCAATCAGGAATGGGCGCACACCGATCTATTGGCTTCACAAAGCAAACAAGCTCCGCATGTGTGGCAAAGGTCACGAACAGGCAACCAATTACCAGGCCGAAGTCGGCCAAGTCATAATAGCAGCGAGGAGGGACGACAGAGAATGCGGGTAGATTGATACAGCACTGTTTCGGGCTTATTTTGCCTTCATTCAGCCGATCATAACCCTGACCACCAGCAGCTGGAAGCGGTGGAAGCGTGCCAAAGGCGATGATTCACGCGCAATCTGGGTGCGGCCACACGGCACAGTCCAGACCCCTGGCCTCAGATAAAATTTCTGCTATATATATATATATATATATATATATATTGAAAAACAGGCATCTCAAGAAATATAATTAGGAAGGTGAAGCTCTTTGGGAAACAGCAAAATTTTATTGTGGATTTTCGAGACTGGTTCCCTAGCTCGTCTTCAGAAGAGGAACACCTGAGTCAGCATTTTTGCCTACATCCATATATATATATATATATATATATATATATATATATATAGAACACCCTTGACTTCAACTTATATTTCTTGGGATGCCTACCTTCCAGTACATATATATATATATATATCGATATGCGTAAAGATTCGAGGTCCAGACATTGTATCGCGTTCATCATCTCCCAAAGAAGACGAAGAAGAAGAAGAGAGGGCGAATTCATGGACCATATTGTATTCGAACTGAGGTTTCGGAAACTGATAGTGGCTACCCACAGTCTGGAGTAAGACCACACCTACACTTTTGTTGCCCTGTTGATAGTCGGGGTGAGTGGCGAGAATCGACTTGAGCATCGCTACGTGGTGAAGTTAGAGACCGGAAGCGCGACGCAGAATCAGTGACTGCTAGGTATAGTATTACCGGGAGATCGAGTTGACTGGCTAAGTCATAACCTGAACTGAAAGTTTTTCGAGATTGGAGCCGAGAACAGGTCAAAAAGTCCAGGTAAATTATTGTTCCCAGAGATTGGCGTTTCCGTTTAAATAGACAAAATGCCTGAGATGAGTATTTTCTCGGCAGCTAGTAAGGCAACTCACTGGTGGTTGAATTCCAGGCCAGAGGGTAGACAGGCAAGAGAGGGCGGTTTGCGTAGTTTCACGGCAAACTCTGTGGAGGGGGAGGAACCATCAGCGGCTAGCCCCGTGGCGAAGATAGAATAGGGTCGTCCGTTAGGATGGAAACCGGCAGAGGGGTAGTAGCTGGCTCGTCTCTGGGCAGCCTGATTGGCGGAGAGGGCGGGGTGGCTGCCGGGACCGCCGGAAGAAAAGATGGGATGGTGCCAACTGAGCCGAGAGCTGGGCGGGGCAATGATGAGGCGATTTCGTAACTTCACGCCGCCGGAGGCGATGAGGGTTTGAGCGTCCATGTGATAGTGCTGCTGCTGGTGAGTGTGCACAGCGGGGGACTGGCCGGCACCAGGCAGGGGCTGAGAGGCAGGTGTCTGGGGGGAGTTGAGGTCGGAGAAAAAGGCCTTCTGCTGCTGCTGCTGCTGCTGACTAGTCTGGATGAGTCGGAGGGCCACCGGTCTGGCGATCGTAGCGCGAGGACGCCCACAGTTGCTGCCGCCATTACTGCCAGCCTGAACTGTGTTGCCGTTGGCAGCGGTGGTGGTGGTGGTGAAACTGCCGACGCGGTCTCTTGAGCGCTTCTTGCAAAATGCCGAACTGGCGCTGAGGGAGCGGCAGGAGCGTTTGGCTGGCAGGGGATCCTGCTGACAGAGGTGGCACTGGCTCAGCGAGGTCGTAGTGACGGCCGTGGTGACAGTACCACAGAAGCGTAATTTCCGATCGACGTCGATCCATGATGGTGTGTCCGAGAGCGGCAAACATAAGGGGCCGTCGGGAGCACTAGCCGAGACTGTCAAAGACAAACAAAAGACTGCCGTTTAAACGCTCTGCCGGGCAGGACTATGTGACTACATAGTGGCTCAAAACTACGGCAAACGGTGACCCAGCCATGCCAACAGCGCAACTACGAGACACGTGCGCGCGCGCGCACCCGTACGCACGGCGCGGGAGTTGCTGGTCGCGCCGGCCAGATGCCGGTGGAAGCGTGCCAAAGGCGATGATTCACGCGCAATCTGGGCGCGGCCACACGGCACAGTCCAGGCCCCTGGCAGAGAGATGAGGCGGCGTGGCAGTAGAATGAGTGCGCTGAAGTCCCGTCCCCTTACCTCGTCGTGGGCGTGTACGCGCGGGTGTGATAAAAAACAACTAGAGCCTGCAGTAGCTGTGGCTCACCCACCATGGTTGTCATTAGGCCAAAGCCCGGCTAGCCCGGGATGTGCGATCTACCCTGTATAGAATTCTGAGCTGCCGCCTCGGGAGACGGTGTGGCTGCTGGTGAGGGAAGAGCATAGTGCGCGAGAGAGAGAGGTGGAGAAACAGTAGGTCCAAGGGTCTTGCGTCTGGGTGTAGCTGCGTTGCGATGCGTGAATCAGGAATGGATGCGGTTGACTGGATAGGCTTCCGTCTCTCTTTTAGTCGGTAAGACGCGGCATAGTATGCGGAACAAAGACGGTGGCCGACGCAGAAATGACGGTCAACTACAGGCAGGAGGGTGGAGGTCGGCACATATTAACAAATCCCAAATTCATTTGACCCAGTAGGGAAAACCTCGGCAGCTTCGATGGGATTCGAATCCACAACAGGAAGGGCATGACTTTAGTACAGCCAACGCTCTAACCACCCGAGCTACCAGGCCCTACCGGGTGAAGTGGGTTTAATCACATTTTGGTTAAGTTACCCGCCTAGCCTCCTGAAACGTACGGAATCCAAGTCAAGCAAGATTATCTAAGCAACAAATTTAGAATCCACCAGACGACTCCAGACGCAATTACTTAACAAGTTAATGATAATTAATTAATACATCTCCCAGTCCTGCAAACACCGAATGTCTTCACATCTCAGGAGAGGAGTTGAAAATACACTGTCGATACTTTACGCATTTATACCCCTGCTTTCTATAGCAACTGGAAGTATGATATTACCGACAAAGACAAGGGGGACCGGAAATGGCTATTTCTGGCTTATTAGCCGTCGTCAGCCAGTCATACCCAACCCCGAAGTGTGGCACACTCGAGGCTTGAACTCGCGACCTGTTTGTTAAAAGTCCACGCCTCGAACCACTGGAAGTAGTTTGTCAGAAATTCCCACTCTGCTCGAAATCTCACTTACCGGTAACTAACGAGCGCATCTTTTGTACTGGCCACGTTCGTGTCGATAAAATGAGGGCTGGTTGAAAGTCGGGAAGGTAAGATCCTATTTCGTAGCCGCATCTATTAGGGGTTAGGGGTAGGGTTAGGGGTTAGAGGGTTAGTGGTAAACCCCCTATTACCATCGGTCTCATATGACAGACGGCTGGGGCTTGTCTGCCGCATGCGCGGCTACGAAATAAGATCCGACCGTTGGGAAATCCGCTACCCTGAAAAGGACCTCTCTTGTGCTTCTAACAAAGCTCATCGCTACTGATTAGGTCAGTTGCATGTGCAGGCAACAGCAACGACTCCCAAGAACTTGCAACGCAGATTCGCGGGTTTGGTCAGAATTGGGTTTCTGGTCCTCAAATCCAATCCACTGTAATAGGAGAAACTTTTTTACAGTCGCATTATGTCTGGGCCTTGCGGCGCTTTGCATAGTCAGTTTTCATTTCATTTTGATCCAACTGTGAAAAACTCGGCGCCTCGGTGGGATTCGAATCCAAGCTGTACTAAAGCCTTCTCCCTACTGCGTGGGTTCGAAACCCACCGAGGAGCCGAGTTTTTCACAGTTGGGTCAATATGAATTATTCAAAATCTGTCAAAACATCTGTGAATTACGTGAGCCTAGTAGACACCTGGTGGATTCTAGGTAAATTACTCAGGAAATCCTGGTTGGGCAGTCAACCTACTGTATCAGATTTGGTGGATTCCAGACGTTGCAGTAGGTTGGGCAGGTAACTTGACCCAAATGTGATTAAACTCGCGTCGTCCGGCGGGGCTTCGTAGCTCAGGTGGTTAGAGCGTTGGCTGTACTAAAGCCCTCCCCTTACTGCGTGGGTTCGAATCCCACCGAGGTGCCGAGTTTTTCACAGTTGGGTCAATATGAATTATTCAAAATCTGCCAAAACATCCACGTCTATTTGGCTGCGCGCCGGTCCTTCCGGACGTGCAGCTGTGTCGTCCGTCAGACATTGTCTTCTCGACCCCATGCAGTTAGCCGGCTGACGGAAAGTCGACACCCGGCACCAGAGCCGATGTGCAGAAGGCATACGTACGTCTTAAGTGTGCGCGGGGGAGGCGGGGGATACCCGTTTCCGTGTCTTACCAGCCATGCGTCTACCCCAGGCCAAGGGAATTAGAGACTCGGACCTGGCTTCGGTTGTTTGTTAAAACCTTCCGTAATGCCGGGTACAATCAGCAATATTCAGTCGTCATGAGGAGGTGAGGTTCACGAATTAAAGACGGCAGAGAAGCGATCTGTTTTGCCTTAGGGATGCACTCCTGAGTCCTGGCAGACGCCTTTCCCCTTTATTGTTGATCCTTTTCTAATGACTGCTCGTTTCTGGTCGACCCCCCCCCCCCCCTCCGTAAGGACTTGCCAGACCAGACGGATGTCCCGTATTGGACTCGGAAGGCGAGCCAAATCCGCGAGCGCTAGTCTTGCTTCGCTGGTTGTGCATGTACACAAGCATGGACAGGTTGGAAGCTCTTGAGAAAAAAAAGGACTTACGGCAATGGTCCCGAGGTAGAATCCCACTGGTCTGGGAAGCACGACGTCGCTCCTGTACACAGGCGTCCACGGGTGCGAGACGAGCGAGGCAGATGGGAGAGAAGCGAGACGCGAGCGGAGACCGGGGGGTGGGGGGAGGATGGACAGAGAGGCAGACAGAGGATGAGAGTGTGGGACAAACGGTGGCAGAGCTGCTGGCGACAGGCGTCAGCAGACTAGCGGGGGCGTAGGCGTGCGTGGTAGTAGGAGGAAGAAGAAGGGTACGCACAAACACACACAAATACCAACAAACGCACGGGTGAAACACAGGGGGGACGCGCACACACACTGAGGCGTCGGTGGTGTGCCGCTTGGCTTGCAGCCAAGTTCCGGCGTACACGCGTAAGCGCGCTCGCACCGCCTGATTGCGCGGCATGCGACATCATGTGACCCGACAGAGAGCGTGAGCAAAGCAGCTCCCACGACACCACCAGACACACACCGCACGAGCGCGCGCGCGGTGTGTGCGCTTGCGCTTTGGAGCCAAAACAAGTTGCGTCAACGCGACCTGTCAGGAGACACATAACGATGTGTTGGCCAGGCAGACAGCCAAATCACGCGCGCACACAGGAGCGTCTTTTGTGAACAAAGACGTGCCAGGGTACACACAGCTGCAGCAGAAAGGCAGCTGGTATACCGGAATGCGACCAATTGCGTGGACGGGCGGGAGCCGAGTGCCTAAAGGGGCCTTAGGCCCGGGCAGCCTGCACGAAGAAGCACACACACCCACACACACACACGACGGTTCGACCTTCGTTGTCGACGATGTCCACTGTGTGTCCCACAGCAGGATGAGAGCAGGAACGGTAAGTTGCACGTGAATTGTTCTAAAGTGATGGTGGACTTGTGCTGCATCTATCGCACTCTCTTCCGCTCTCCCACCTGGGTCGGCGAATTTAGGTTTGCGCGTACCACACACCTGCCGGATCAGTCTTGCGCTCTCTCCTCTCCAATACACCAGTGACTTGTCCGAGTTTAGCCAACTGGCGACGGCATGACAGCTCGACTGTCGCGAGCGACTACGTCTACTGTACGACCCACAGAGTGGGGGTCGCATTGGTGCCTTGCCTATGAACTGTTTATAGTGAAAGGAGACTTGCACAGCATCTGCCGGCGATGGAAAGATACTGCCAAGGCGATCGGAGGTGGGTTCGATCGCAGTGGTCGATAAAGCTAAACAGTCCGTCTGCGCGTGCCACACACGACCTGGGGGGTCCCGGTCGGGGACACAGAAATACATCCAGCGCAACAACCTCGTGGGTTTCCGTTAAATTGCTGAGGACTGGTTATGCCCGGCCCGCCAAATACAGTCAAGAGGTTCACTAAACACGCAGTAATTGGGGGCAGGATAAAACTGCTGTTTGATTGAGTATACCTGTTTTTTTTCAGCCCGGTCAGAGCCGGCTGACAAAAAAAGTCGACGACCGGGCACTAGAGCTGGTATACAGGGAGAATACGTGCGTCTCATGTGTACGCCAATCGGGGGATGTGGACAGACCGATGTTATTAGGGAGCATAAGCAAGTCATCAATTTTCAGCAGGCTCTCATAAGAAATGGCTTGTGCCCCCCAACTGGTGAGAATCCACATTTTGGTGTTCAACAGATTTTTCAACGATCGTTCAGAGAAGAAAAGTGGCAAAGAACAACTACACAGAGAAGTAGAGACACGTCTAACGCTTTCGAGCGATACAATGCAATTCACGCTACCCTCCTGAGAGAAAAAGCGGGAATCACTCTCGAAGCACTGGCCAAAATGCCAGTGCGCCCTTCGGTGGTCCTTCCTTTCAGCTTCGGGCTGGCTTCAGTCACGTTGCTGGGATGAGAACTCACTGCAAAATTTGATTCTGACTTGGTCACCAATTTATGTGTAGAAAGATGTGCGCAGCCTCTAACGCAGCCCTACTTCCCACTCCAGCAGCGTTTCAGCGGTAGGGTGGAATCAAAACGACTGGAGATGGGCGCGGCCGCGGTGCCAAACAACCTGCTTTCTAACTTCAAAAAATGGATGAAACTCTGGGATCTCACATAATCGTGAGTGCCAACAGTAAAGACCCAACGCAGTCCGATTAAGGCATGTCGCAAAACAATGAGGTTACAATGGTATGGGCGCTCACCGATCGTTCTTACGGAACTCAGTCGTTCCGTTGTGCCTTACGGGTTCTCTCTTGAGCCCAACCAGCAGCCGCACAGCGGCGCATTATATAGGCAGTATGTTATTACCGTCAAAGACAAGGGAAACTGGAATGGTCATTTCTGGCTTATTAGCCGTCGTCAGCCATTCATGCGCAACCCCGATGTGTGGAACACCCGAGGCTCAAACTCGCGACCTGTCGAAACCGACAGGGCAACTGGCTCGTGGTCCAGTAGTTAGAGGCGTGGACTTCTAACTAACAGGTCGCGAGTTCGAGCCTCGGGTGTTCCACACTTCGGGGTTGGGTATGACTGGCTGACGACGGCTAATAAGCCAGAAATGGCCATTCCAGTCTCCCTTGTCTCTGTCGGCAATAACATAATGAGGTCCCAGTTTTGATCTTGAGCGACGGCGACACGTCGTCTGGTAGGGTCGGCGGTTTGTAAACACAGTCAGAGGCAAGTAAAAGTCATGAGAAAGTACTCACCCAAAAGTTGGAATCGTCATCGAGTTCCGGTTCAGAAACTGTAGGGCTATTGTTAGTTCCAAAGTTGGGAGATCTTTGGAGGGGTTCTTCTGGCTGTGTTTTGAAACCTTCAACGCAGGTAGAAACAGGGCAACCGACCATGTCTGGCCAGTAGGATTCTGCGGTGTCTCTTGTGAAATTGACAGCTTTGGCGCGTCGCGAAACTTTGAGTATTTCCGGCTCCGATTCAGGCTTATTGAATACGTCGAAGGTGTCCTGTAGACGGGCACTTTTTAATCTGTCCACAATGATTGAAATCGAGGAAAGGGGACGAGCCGCAGTTCGAGGGTAAATGTCAGACTCCGAGATCATTTTTGTGGACTCTTTGGCAAGAAAAGGTCTTCAAAAATGAAAAAAACAGATGAAATCTGCTAGATGTGCGCTCGCTCAGAAGGTTATAAACAATTAAAGGCTCAAATATGACCCTCCCTTTCGTGCAGAAATGGTCACAGAACAAGACGTAGAAAGAGAGAAACTTGGCAGTGGGAGATTTCTCAGGATTGGTGCAGTGAACAGAGAAGTCGCACTTCGAGAAAACGCGTGCCGGTGAGTAGAGTTAAACCTCCAATCAAATTCACACTGGGAGCTATGCCGACAAGCCACGGACGATACACTTCTCGGCAGTGAATAATTCATACCCGTGGTGCAAGTCTACGGCAGTTTGAGGTGAGTGACTGTCCGGATTGAAATGCATATCATTTAGACGCGTGAGGCAGATAATCGCAACAAATCAATTCGACACAGTTCATGCTTTTAGCAAGTGTAAAGTAAAGACTGAATTTAAACAAGGGACCAGACGAGGAACGTTAGGAGACCCGCTGAAACGCGTTATATTCACAGAAAATAGGTGAAAATGGTAATATGTAGTTACGTAGCCTCATCTGATGGACGCAATACCGTTGGGGTTGGGGTTATGGCAACTATTTCTCAACCACTCAAAGTATAACCGCGCATTCCCAATAGCTTTTCTTTTGCACACAAATACTTGACATCGTCACCTGTGGGTTTCCCGGTCCAACCTGTAAAAACCCCTATTACCACTGGTCCTATATGGCAGGTGGCTGGGGTTTGTTTACTTCAGATAGGGCTGCATAGCCACATCTGACCGAAAAAGCATATATGGCATCAAGTTAATACCTGCGTTGGGAGGATGGCGAAATATCTGTGTTCTGCCGACTTCGGAGGTGCCAGCATACGGTCTAAACCTTAGGTGAGACCCAGGAAGACCGGTTATGACGGCTTATTTCCAAACGTGTACAAACAAATTGTAATCCCAAAGCTCAACAATCCTGGCAATTAAAAACATCTAGATATGCACTTAATGCCTTGAAATCTGAGGAAAGAAAGTATGCCAAACTAATATGCGTTGGAGAGGAGGACTGACGGGCTGAGGAAATGCAGTGGGAAGTGACCCTGGGCAATGAGTTGCAGCCCTTTTAAATCGTGCCTCAAGAGGCTCGCCTGTGAAGGTCGCAGGTAAAACGGAAATGTCGTTCCTGTTTAGGGCGAAATTCATTGCAGGCGCTTGCGGCGCGACCCAATAAGGCCTCAGTGACACATCCTCGTGCTTAGTTTGTTGGCTTCTCTCTCTCGACTGCAGTAAATGCCACACACACACACCAACGAGAGCTGCTATCGTTGTTGGCACGCTGCCAGAGAAAAGGGACGCCACACGCACGCGTACGCACGCACTGTGCGGCCACTACCGAAAGAATGTACGTGAGTTAGCGCAAAAGTGCGTGCGTACGCGTGCCAGTGCGCACGTATGCCTATCGCGCGGGGCAGTGGTGCGCGCGTGCGCTTTCGATGCAGCTTTCGACGCATCGTGCGTGCGCCCCAGTTGGCAAGCTGCGTGGCTCTGGCGTCAGATTCAGCCAAGAAGCGGCTACAGAAATGAGCGCCACTAAAATCAAAACAACACAGAAAATGGCAATCTGAGCTAAGGGACACATATTTCACTTAATTTCATGCCAACATTTGGAAGACAGGCTGGCAAACTGGGTACGCTTTCGAAAAGCTCTCATCAGACCAGAAAAGTGACAGACGAGTGGATAATCGATGCTTTTACGATAACAGACAAACACAAGGGAAGCATGAGGCGCAGGCCATCAAAGGTAAAGACCTCAGGCGATGTGCGGTGCTAGGGCGGAGCAGCATGAAGAAACTAGCTTAAATTACACAGACGCCAGGGCTTTAAGGACGTGGGTTACTTTTCTGTAATCAGTAAAAAGGAATTTTCAATGGCCAGACACAGGAATTTTTAAGAGAGAACAAAATATTTTCTTGACGGAGGTAAGTTTACACGGTGAAAGATCTACACAACTGCATGCTGAGGTGGACACTGTGGTCCGCAGGTGTAGTCTATTGAAAAGTCGAAAGTAATAAGAACAGCGATATCCATTTCTACTGATCATTCAGGGACGAATACAGGACCACTAAGTAGCAAAAGCGAACAAGGAAGTATCTCGAGGACCAACGGAGATGCTATAGGTCATATGTCCCTTGCCCAGCGGAAATAGAGTTTACTACAAATCTGCGCAAACCCCCTATATTTAAAGCAAAGGCGAATCTACGCGGCGACAGCAACCATAACGTACCCAAGGGGATCGTGAAATAGTGTCACATAACCATAAGCTTTTTGAAAAAGGCTTGAAACACAGATAAAACACTTAAAAGGCGACCTAATATGAGGTCCGACAGCTATAATGGTTAGTTGAGGCTGTCTGATATATCTGATTGGTCAGGGATCATAAATGCAGAGTCTGGATAAGCATGAGTAAATAAAATGCGGCTTATGCGTACATGGTACAACATAAATCGGATTTCTGATGTGCGGCTCTACTATAGCTTCTGAGTTAGCCGCGCACAAGAAGAGCCTTGGACAGTAAAAAATCACACGACAACGGTCGGACAAGCATACATTAATTAGTCAAACTTATTTTGGGCAAATAAAAGCTAGTACCCACAGAAGTATTTAAAACTACATCTTAAAACTCGGCGACATTGCAAGGAACCTTGTTGCGGCGGTAACTATAAGACTGGATGGCAGATCAGGCACCTCTGCTTACTTTCCCGCAAGTTGGAAGCGTCGGAGTATCTACGGCTAAACATGAGAGTCTGGCACAAAATACTGCGGACTCACAAGGCGAAATACTTCAATATAAGTTTGTTTGATAAAAGAAAGTGATCAGTTACTGAAACAGCAAATTGTTTGCAGAAGACAGTTGAGAAATTTGCGTTTATTTATCTAAGAAAACAATTAGTTGTACACAAGGGCCGATATGGGCCAAGCAAGGCGAACCTGAGACAAGGACCAGTTCTCTAGACGTTTGCAGCGGCTTACAGGCAAGTACATGTACCATCTTCCGTACTTGCATGTATTTTTGTGTAAACCAGTACCCAGGAGTTGCTTTACTTATAGAAAATTGGAGAATAATTTTCGTCATTTTGCGTTTTATTGCTACGCCCGAGTTTCTGACCCGCTTTGATTTCATGTTTTGACCAGTTTTCGTCTTTCGCTCGTACATATTTGTTTCTTCTAAATGTTCTTCCTGTACAGATCTTAACCAACTGTTTCGGTCGTCGACCAGCCTCTTGCAAGTTCTGACACAAGTACGACCTCTTATGTCTCTTTTTATCATCCTCTACACTGCTGAGTCTGCTTTCCTCTCCTCTCTGAGTTGTAGGAAGCCGCGTTTCTTGCAATGCTTGCTGCTCAACTTGTAGATTTCTCCTTTAAAAATTCCCGTTAAGTGACCCAGTACTTGAGTTTAGTTTAATACCCTCAAACTTGCAGATGTCTGAGGGCTCCAACAAGGAATTCCGAAATTATACAACTTCTTATCTTCGAGAGATGGTCGCGTCTTTCGAGGGTGAAAACGGCACACATACCACCGCGGAACTTAATACAGATCTTAGAAACGGTTTAACAGTATAAACAGATCATGTCGTTTTAATTTTCAAACAAAACTGGAAATCCTAGGCAGACGACTTGGCGACGCAGAAGTAAGTTACAATCTAGGACTGCGATCGAAAGATATATCTACCTATGGACTGGCCGGCAGAAAATATTAAGGCGCGTGTGACTGTTCATTAGGAAGATGAGTCACAGTAAGTCCCGGACTCTATAACAGACCCCGACCATATACGTCTAAAGGTCAACCGGTGGTTTCTGACACCATATTTTCATAATGCTTAGGGCCGATGCAAATCGTATTAACTGCCCATTGGGAACGCCCAACATATCATAGCCTGCGTCATTTCTAAGATTCTTACATAACTAAATTAAACACGAACCTTAAGGGCGGAGTTCCAGTCAAAGCACGTGCCAAATGTGCATTCGATGCGAACTACTAGTATGAATACGTATAGACAGGCTTTTCAAAAAATAAGGAGTCAGAAACAAGGAGATTAAAAGTTGAAAGCTTTGCGAAATATGCACCGAAATAAAGTTTTGATACGTACTTGGGATGGGGTTACGGACAACCACACATTAATCCGGAACGACAAATCAAAGCGGCGGAATCGTAATGTCTCTAAATGGCGCTGTCCAATGTTCATTTACTTTGACGTAAATAAACAATCGGACTGAAAGACAACAATCCCTTTTTTGCATTACAAGGAATTGCGTTTAAGCCGCATAATATTTCACCGCATAAGCTTGATTTTTTGTGAGTTCAAAGACGCTTTACCTGGGAACTGTGACCTCGAATATGCCGGTGCCAAAAAATATCGCGAAGACAACTGAACAAATTTGTCATTTTACAGACATTTTTCACATTTTCCTAAGTAAAAGAGTGTTTCATACAACAGCTGTTTCGTATATTATCGTTTTGCAGTGTTCGGCTGACATCAAATTAGCGGTCGTTCATATCCCTCTATCTCTGTGTGCATTCACTTCTTTTGATATAGTCACGTTAATAGAGTGCTAGCATTTTCGAGAGATATTTTGACAAACATCCATGTGTAAAACAATGCATTCTGATGCATTTTATTTTAAAAGTTACTTGTTTGAGCAAACATTAAGCCTGTCGATGTACACTCGCGCCTTCTTTGCACCGTTGACACAGTTTAATACACCCCACATCGCCGAACATGACAAT